ATAAAATTAAGAACAAACAGACTGTAATAAAAAAGTCATGTATTAACTCACAGTTTCTTTTTATTTCAAAAAAAACAGAAGACCGAAGAGCAAGCAGCAGTATTTCCCGCCATACGCTATTTTTTTACAATTTTTTTTTTTTTTAAGATTAGTTTGATCACTAATATGCCTTTCATATGAACATGCTATACGTTTCAGACAGAGTAAAATACAGGCACAGTTTATGGCTTCCAGTGAGTAGTGCTTGCCATAAATAAGCACAGACAGGTAAGAGGAACCAGCACCGGGCACTGCATTGTCAAGGGGAGCAGTGAGGCCTTTTGAAGTGCTCTGAGCAGGAAGCAGCACAGCCTTTTTAATTAGAGCACATACAGCTGGAGGATATACAGGAGGAGTCTCCTCAGAATTTATTTTGGGAAGGGAGGGACATATCCTTCAGGTGTTCTCATTAATGCAGGCTTAAACACAGAGGATAAAACCCAGCATTTTAAGAAGAAAAATAATAACCCTTTCCCCCCAAATACCGGGGCTGAAATCCTGCTCTGCTTGAAATCAACTGATGTTTTGCCATTTAACTCAATGAGACCATAATGTCTTTCCAAAAAATTAGTATGGACTGCTTGATCCCATTCCCATCAATAATAAGGCTGTACGTAGAAAACTGCTGATATATTTTCAGTGTGTTTACATATAAATACATAGAAACATCAGAAAAAAAATAATTTCAAGCTCGATCTTGCTTTTCTTCTGCATGCAAGGCCACCCCTGATTTCACAAATTATTTCCATTCCCAGAGGTCAAAATCAGCTCTCCTGTAAGGATCGGACTGGAATTATTTCCCTGGTGTCTGAGCTTTGTATTTTTATGAAAATTGAATTTGGGTCTCGGGGGTCAGAAATACCATTCAGTTTCCTTACTGAGCACTGATGAAACAAATTTAAAAATATCTATAAATGATAATTGGCAGATTCTGAATAGATGTGAGCTTTTATTATGTGGGAGAAGCAGCAAAAGCACCACTGAAAGAGAGAACTGTAAGCAGTTCTTTTAAACGTTGTAACTGAAAGTGATCATTGTTTGCTTTTACCCTCTATCTGGTAGGTCATAATTTATAATTTTCAAGATTTCTGTAATTGATTACACCGTTTAAGTCTGCCCTGCTATTTGCTAAGAAAAAGTCAGCACTTTTGCATTTGTAATAAGAAATCTTGAAACACCTATTTTTTAGATCATTATTACTTTTAGATGTCAGATATGTGATGTCAGAGTATTTGTGAAGACAATAGAAAATGACAGGTATATGAATGTTTTTAACTGCTAGCTGTTGATAAAAATCTCTGCGTAAGAGCTAGATATGATTGTTATTAATGAGACCTGGTTTTGTTTAATTTGGGAAGTAAGCCACATTATTATTTTGGTATTATTTTGTAAACCAATTAAGAAAATACCTGGTTTTAGTTACAATACGCTACCTCCAAATTTTTGATCTGTAGCACAGTTTCCACTAGTCTTACTCCCCACATTTATTAAAAACATTTCTTCTGAGAGCTGAATGCTTTCTGATCAAAATAACAAAAATCGTTTGACTGTACCACGGATTTAATCAGTCTAATTATTCTCAAAATCTCAGTGTAAAGTAACAAGGGTATTTATGTGCTTCATGTTGATCTGTGGATACCAGAAATTGTTTTTGTAATAGCAATGAAAGTCATCATGTTTTATTTTATATTTGATAAATGAATATAAAAAACCTTAAAAAGCAAAATAGCCTTACCCGCTCCTTCATTCTTTTGCAAACTGAATATTATTTTTATGGATCAGTATAGTGAGGTCTGCAGATAGTTTCAGGATACCAAATGCTCATTTCTTACCTATGTGTCTGTAACATTTCTTATTTGATCAAGATTGGAGAAAGTCTCTAGAGTATTGATGAATCTGACTTGTCTATGAACTGATATTAAACTGACTTACAAAATCGCTTATTTCTGCTGTGTTATATCCCATTCAAATGTTTGCTGGTTTTTTTTGCATGCCGTACCTTAGCTTTGAAAGTATGAAGATGGTGTCTGTTTCTAGAAACAGATAACAGATGTATTTGCAAGCAGGTTTTGACGCTACAAAAGCAATAAAAGTAAAAAAATAAAAGGTATGTTGTTATCATGCAGGTTTTGCTGACTGCATCTTTCTTAATCTGTTACCTGTTAAAATCTCATTTCAAAATTGTTAAAAATCTGACAAGCAGCAACTTCAGAGAATTTATAAAGTATTTCAAATGTGATTTTAAAAACATAGTGCTACCGTTATAAAATAAACTCTTATCTTTGAAATCTCAAATAGGCATGTGTAATTTAACCTATCACTACTGAAAGCAGACAAATCTATTTTAAGATACTATGGTTTCACTATGTTTCTCTCCATATCACTGGAGAAAAGGCTTTTTATTTGGATTTTTAAAGACTGTTTCATTATTGCTTTTTATTTTGTTAGATAGCTTTGTGGAATACTAACAGGATTTTACAAAACCATAGGGTTTTGAAAAAACGCATGGGTTGTGTCTTGTGTCTGCGGCATGCATGCTGCTTATTTTTATGTGGAACAGTGAAAGAATGCTGTATTAACAAAAAAAAACCCCAGCTCTAGAGTTATGTATTTCAGCCTTCCTAAAGATTTTGTGAAAATTCAGTGCCTTAAATATACGCTGTGTATATTTGTGTATGAAACAAATATCTTTGATCTACAATTTTCTGAGAAACATAGCTGGTTAGTGGATTAGTCCTCTAAAATGTGGCATTTAGTTGTTGTTTGAAGAAACCCGTTTCCAAATGTTATGAAATTAATTTTGGCTGGAATTAAAATAACTTTTTTTTTTTTTTTTGAGAAATCAGTGATCACGAAAGTAAAATTGCTTGTTCTCTGATGTGATTTTATCACGGATCAATGACCCTATGTCAGATTTAGGCCGTTGACTCTCGCCCACTAAGCAGTAATAGACTTGGGATGAGGAGTTAGAGTGTGCCAGCTTTTTTGGGTAATACTGCCTTGGACAGGACCTAGGCCTTGCACAACGGGGAGGTGAGCCCAGTAGCTTATTTGCATTTGAATGGCTTCTTAAAGGGTGGGGCAGATGGTATCTGCTTTCTGATTGCTATTCAGCATTATTTCTACATCATTCTGCAAACCAAATCCTCTTGCATTTCACATGTGGGGCTCAGGACGCTACCACAAAGCCCTTTATGGAAGTCATGCTTTAGCTTGGCAGGCTGGTTGTAGTAGAGGTGCCAGTTTGGTTTTGCAACCTTGTGTTGGGGTTGGTGAGGAGGAGGAGGAGCAGGGAGTCTCAAGGGGGAGAGGGGCAAGGCAAGCAGCCCTGCTTCCCTGTCCTTGTCCTGCTGCTGGCGTGGCTGCGCAGGCGCTGCAGCCCTAACGAGAGTCCCGGGAAGTCTGCAAAGGTTCAGCTTCCTGCCGTCACTCATCTTGTGTGACACAATGAAGGCATTAGAGCTGAGGAGAAGGAGATAGGCTTGGCAGCTATACAGTGTTTGCTTTAAAATTATTTTTCTCCTGGATCTTTGGACCTATCTCACAAATACAATATAAAGCTACAGCCAGAGAACCAAGATGAAGTTAGCAAAATATTGGTTTTGTTAATCTTGTCAGTTTGTCAGTGTTCAGACCAGGCTTTAGTACTACCTTCAAGCTGCTTTCTTCCTGCTTCTGTTGCATTGTGCCGACAGTGAGGACAGAAGGAGTACCTGTCACTCCTCCAGAGGTAGCCTGGACTCTGGTTCCTGTCTAACTATCTCTTCTTGCCTGGGCTGCTCTCCAACTCCATGTCCATTTATAGATCCTAGGACACCCCCATATCCCCATCTCACCATGTGACCAAGAGAGATTCCCACGGATAGATCTGGTGGAGGAGCTGCTTTTGCAGCTGTCCTATCCTGTTTGCCCTGACCTAAAAAGCATTAAAGCTAAAAAGCCTTGCTTGGAAGACCATCATGCCAAGCTACAGGCTCCTTGCTCAGGCAGGTTCTCTCGTTAAAGGCAGCGGGGTGGAGCATTAGCAGACTTGCAGGTTACCATCATTTGTCTTATAAGGTGACCTAAATCAACTGAGTGATCTACCTATCTGGGACAAACACCCACACAGTTCCTTCCTCCTGCAGCATCTTTTGATGCCCTCATTCCAGCGTAGATTACAAATACTTCTCCTAAGATTGTGTTCATTCATCCCACGCATTATATCCCACACATAAGATTCATCCCACATATTAACCAGAGTCTTTATGTATTCTTGTGGATCACCTTGGAAGTTGTTTGACTTGGTGTGGGAAGGGAGGTTGGAAATTTGACAGCATTCAGGTGTATTTAAAGCAGAAGTCTCCTGGGGATGTAAAAGAGAATTGTGGGAATATATTGTAGGAATTCCTAAATGTCAGCTCAGCTCTTCTCACTTCTGCCGTGTCCTCGCTCTGAAGTGATTAGCTCAGGATTTTTCTTATGTAATACCTACATTTCGACCTCTGCATCTAGCTGCCGAGGTGAGTATGGATTTAAAGGGTGTGTCAGCATGAATATAGGGACATGTCTGCTGACCATCAGGTTATCTGGGCTCGAGTCAGAGGCCAGAAGCCAGGTCAGGACTGAAGCCAAGTCCTGTCCTCAGCTGGTTCTTGGTCATAAGTCAGTGACTTTTGAGAAAGAGACAGATGTGGTTTCGCATGTCACCGAGGTTAAGGAGAAGAAACTGTTTCATTTACTGACCTTTACTGTGGAAAAGTCTTCCCTGCTGGTTCCAAGCAATCTCTTACTCTCCTTTTTTTAGCACATGTGATTGAAGAAACAATGAACCCTTTTTTTTCCTCCCCCCACGAGGATTGTATGTTACTTCCAGCAATGCCAAGGGACTTGTGACTCACCAAGCTCAGCAGAACGTTCAAAATTGACCTCCCTGGTTCACAGGCAGTGTGATTTTATTGTCCTTCCTATTGTTTTGACAGGTTCCCACAGCCAGCGTCACCATAGAAGGAGCTTCTGCCCTCAACCGTGTCCGCTGGGCCCAGGCTGGAAAGGAGGTAGCAGTTGGTGATTCAGAAGGCCGCATATGGATCTACGATGTTGGAGAGGTATTATTATTGGGTTTTGGTGTTTTTAAAGCTCAGCTCCTGGAGAATGCCACATCCAAGTTTGAGAAAAGATCACGTATCATAACATATGAGTAGGACACCTCCAAAGAATAAGCCAGATTTCTTTCAGTGGAGTTGCCGTTGATTTTGAGTTGCCAACAGCGTGTTAGTCGTAAAGCTACTTTGCAAAAGAGTTAACTAGTTAAAATCTCATGAGATAAGTATTTTTTGAAAGCTTTCAGTGTTTTTAAAACTTTTTTTTAATGGTTCTATGGGTACAGTTGGGAGAAGTTACAAAGGAACATAAAGAGGAAAACAGGCACAAAAAGAAGCTGTGTTGTTCTGAACTTGGTCCTGAAGGGTTCACCTTTTATACTCCACTATCTCTTATTTCATGACTGACTTAATGCTGTAGACTTTTCTCAGCATGACAAGTACAGAATACATCTCTTACTACTGAATAATGCTGAATATGTCTGAGTATGTGCAAAAGTACTAACAGGAGGAAATGAGAGGTGTCATTGTGGAGGATGGTAGGTGCATGTGTGATGAAGAGTATGTAGGTGCTGAGAAATAGCAGGATATGTATTCTGTGTCTTAGGCTGCTCTCAGTTCACCCTGCTACATCTTATAAAAACCATCTAAACTGCAGTGTCTTTGGCACTGATGGAATCTACCTCTTTGTTGATGAATGCGGTATAAAGTGTTCTGTCGGCATTACAATCCCTTGGAACATTTAAGGGTGAATCTCTGAGCAATCAGCTTTTATGTAGAGAATTTGTTTTCCATCATTATCTGTGATAGGATACTGAGATATCCATCTCTACACAGTAGGGAAACATTATAGAATACATATAGAATTATCTGTAACTCTCATAAAGTGATTTTATGGCCCATAGCAAAATTGCTTGTGCATGACTCATATTTTTGGATTGCATTCACTTGTGCAGCAGTTGCCTTCCCTCACAAATGTTTGCTGAAACTTCTTGCCATATTGTTAGCATAATTTCTAAATTGCCTAAGGTTACTACATACTGTCCACTATGACACTGACAGGTCAGGCTGTTTTTATTTATTATTCATTTTGGCATGACTGTTCTGAAAAGGTGATTTTTCTGTCTTCCAAGTGATACAACAGGCTATGGAAATGTCTTTGATGACAGCACAGTCTGATCTTGTCTGGGAGTCTAGACGGGCTGTAGAAATGTCTCTTTTTGCATATCATACACCAAATCATTTATGGGATTGTTTATCCCTGCAAACTCACGCAGGAGAAAATAGATTTAGTGTTCTATGCAGAAGTAGTAATATTTAAGTTTTTGGCCTTTCCTCCGTATAATCAGACTTCAACTTGCAAAATGAGTCACAGCAATACACTCAAATAAAAAAGAAAGACAGACTTCTATTACTTGAAAAAGAAAAAGAAAAGAGAGTCATTCAATAGTATTTGTGTGAGTCCAGATCAGTGTTACATAAAGTGTTCTGCTTCAGGGATCTTGCATGCCCTGCCTGTGCAGAGCCCCAGCATCTCCAGCTCAGCTCCATACACACTTATGCAAACAGATGGATGTCCATCCACATGGCTGCTGACAGGTCATGGGCCATTGACACCCCTCCTCCTCTTCTGTAATGAATGAAGGAGTTCATTAATTTGTTGCCTGGTTCATTTTGGCAGTATCAGTCTCTGCAGTAATTCCTGTACCAAATTTAGAAGAGGTGGTCTGGGCTGCAACAGTTTCAGATACTACCAGGGCTGGTGTGTTGTTAGTGGCTTTTTCTGGTTTAAAAAAGAAGGATGCTCATATGTTCTCCAGCACAGCTCTTCTCACTACAAAGCCTTAAGTGAGATGCAGAAATACAGCTCAAAAGCCTGGAACTGAGGGCTGGTACAGTGAGTAACAGCTTCTTCAGTCATTAACCCTCTGTGCCAGTCCATCAAGAGCTCTCTGATGAGTTATTCCATGCTTAGCTGTCTTCAGGCATGACGCACAGGAAATTCACAGCATGCACATGCACTTTTGGAAGTGCCTGGCAGAAATATGGCAGTCTTTAAGACTCTGTCTTTAGTTCAGTGTGCAGACACCGGCCAGTTCCTTGGCTCAGCTGGGGTCCTCCTTTGACTGTCCTTTTTGTATGGGTTTGATTCTGGGACATGACTGGTCTGGTCTGACAGTTTAAAAGGGGCAGTCTTTCTCTCCCTGCCAGGCAGCCATCCCTAGCCATATCCCTTGCTGCCCAGTTTTTGTGTCAGTAACAGTGCTTGTCACCACCCACATTATGGGGAGGGAGATAGATCAGCAGAGAAGTATTGATTTATTTATTTGTTTTGGTTTGTTTTCCTTGGGGTGTTTTTGTCCATGAACTGACTCAGTGTGAGAGTGGATGAGTGAGCACATGGCTGGGGGCAAGGGACTGGGAGCTGGACCATACAGCACCTGGCAGCACCTAGCATTTCATATTTGACCCAGCAGTATTGCAAAGCCTGACACTAAGCTGCAACTGTTGACCTTTCAGCAATAGCACTCTACCTGTCTTCTACAGCATCAGCTTCTGAAAAGGCCTCATCACTGAAAGAACTCATCCCTGACAACTCAGTAGCATCCACTTATTTGAAGGTGCATCTCTGATTTGGGAAGATGGGTGTGATTACTTGCATTAGAAAGTCAGCAGGCCACTTTACAAAGACCCTAAATACACTCACCAAAAACATTAATGCTCCACTTATACTGCGTCCTTTTTAAAACCTTTCTTTTCTCATGACTGCTCCAAATATTACATTAAATCAGCTGTAAATTGACAAAACATTGGTTCCATCAGAAAAAGTTGTGATTATATTTGTATTATAATAAAGCACAATGTCTTTGAATTTCACATTACTCTATAAGCAATTTTTCTTACCTGTTTGAACAGACAGAATTGACTCCATGAATTTTGATCAGAGCAGAAAACTTTTGGATATCAAATCATTAAGGAAAAAATTTAAGTGATAGTAATTTTTACTTTGATAGATTCATCACAGTTTTAAGGAACTACTCTAGAGAACAGTGAAGTTTACTGCTGCTGTTAACCCATATGGTGTAAAGAGAAAACATTATATGGCCTAAGTGAAAATATAAGATATGAGACCTAACCTTGCATCCTTTGTGAAGGCAGGGAGTGTGAGATCAGGGCTGTTTCACTTTGTAAGAATTTCGGAATTGGCCCTTCTTGATATGTTATCCAGTCATAGTCTTTATGACACAAGAAATGGCAGAAGCATGAAGAATGTGGCAAGGTCCATGACCAGGGATTTAAAAATACTGGTGACATTTTCAGTTAGGCTATATAATGTTATCTCCTTAGAGTATGTACTTTTAGTTGTTTGATTTCGGCATCATATCTGAAAATAACTGAACACATTTATTTTCACAGTGAGGGGTCTATTTTCTCCTCAATGCTTGTGCTTTTTGCCCATTAGCGTTAATGGGAGTTATACACACACTTCCAGGGGAGAGGAGACTTAAATAGTCCGTATAGATGTGCTCTTGTGGATCAGTAACCACTGATTTAAAGAATGTGAACTATAAAATGAAATAAAAACCCAAACAAACACATAAAAATCTGATTGTTTCAGTGTGATGGGATCTTAAACCTATGTAACTTAACCAGAGAATATAACCAGTCATTGTAAATACACTTTACTCTCTGTAAGATCTAAATATTGAAACCTTTGTTGGTCTAGCAGTTAGGATATTATTATTATTCTTGTAGTGTATATAATGTATTTTAGCCTCTGTGGTCTTATGACTTATTTACTGGGCAGCAAGTTTTCTGTATGTTAGAAGTTGATTTTAACAGAACATGGGCCACTGACTATAGATTTATTCACATGTCCAGATGATTGATAGTTAAACCTAACTGCGTGTCTCTCTTGTAGATATATTTTCTAGAAAGCTTGCTCCCATTGTGCATGCTTCAGTGATGTTACACAGTTGCCGCTGTCATAAATATGCTCTAACAACCACATTTGTTGCTTACCTGGCTTATTGAGAATGCTCTTTGCACCTTTGGTTGTGAAAAAGCAGCTTCTCATCCACCTTCCATTATTTCTTTCTTTTTTTTTTTTTTTTTCCCCCCATTAATCTCTTCCAGGTCATATTCTGCTTGCACTGTGGATAAATAGATAGAAACTGTATATCAATGATTTATTATTTCATTGTAATAAAATGTAAAGTAAGTTTGCAGCACAGGATTGAAGAGTTTGAAACTGTAATTGCAAGGAGCTTATTACTGTGTATTATTTAGTTAAACTAGTTACAGGACAAACTGTTGCATCTGTTTGGCAGGTTTTCAGACAGTTGATTCTAGTCATGCTTTTAAATGATGACTAGTATGGCAGG